CTTCTCTGCCTTGTGATATAAATTCAACATTTTGGATGCTGTAGATTCCAAGTGTTCCAAGAAAGGGCTTAAGTTTATTAAATTAGTTCACAGTGTTCTCACTGAGAACTTTACTTTGAGACATAGGGCCATGTGCAGTTGGGTTGTTTTAAGATAATGTAACTGAATCACCAATACCTTTACAGAATATGGGTTCTGCCTGTGGCATAATTATCAAGTTTGGTCCATGGTAGAGGGGGCAGGGTTAGGGTGGAGGGTCAAGTTAGTGTTTCTACATTTTTGCACTCTGCTGGTGACAGCACCTCTAAATCTGTATAGAATCAGATGGGCACCACTGGGGTCTGAAAAGACTCTGGGAGCCTGCATTAATTGGGAACTATTCTCCATCATCAACTCAGAATTTGGCTTGAATGGCACTGAAGAGTGGAATATGACTAACAGGTTGTGTTAACAGACCTTTGTGTGAGATTAAGCTCTTGGCAGTGTCAGGAGCCTTGAGTTACTTGGAATTTGAATGCTCCTCATGGCTGTGTTACTTGTGATGTTCATATTTTCTATTTTATCACAAAAGAGGAGAAACAAAATTGAGAGGAGATCTTAAAAAACAAACATGTTTGTTTAAACATATTTTTTCCGTATTTAACCTGAGACATATTCATGACTGTGTGTGTGTGTGTGTGTGTGTGTATAACACATGTATAAACACACATACCGACACTAAGTTAAACTGCTGGTGGCGGAAGGTAGCTTATCACTGCAGGACATTGGGGATTTCTGGGATTTCATTCCCAGAATTTTGGGGTTTCATGAACCAGGAATATAAAAAAAAAAAAAGATAAAAAAATCATTCTATGAAAGAAAGAACATTTTAACGTTAAAAGGCACACAAAAGGAAGGTTGTCAAATTGAAGACATTCCTGTCTGATTTGTGGTAGAATAGTACAGAGAAGAATACAGCAAGGAGCTCTGGGTACCCATTACCCAGATTTTTAAAATACTATCATATTTTTTCCAAATTATTCTACTTAAAAGTGCTGATGTATGAACGAACTATTTGTTACCAGGCCGTAATAAGACAAGGAGCTTGTGCCAGAAAGGAATCAGTTATTCTGCTAAACCCCCAGTTTAGTAACTGATTCTTTTTCACAGCAAGACTTTGTTGATGAAGCAAGCTATGTGTTGATTTCCATTGTGGCACAAGTATTTTACTATCAGTGGTCCAAGTACCAGTTGCAAACAGTTCATGGACTGGCACTGGTTAATAGTCCTGCTCTGGATCTGTTTGTTGACAATTAGAGTCGAAGCCCATATATACTCATTTCACTATGACCCCATCTCCCTGTCTTTCTCCCCAAAGTTAACCAGTATACTGAAGTCATTGTGCATTCGCCCAGTCCATACTGCATATGCATGAGTCCAGAAGCACTGTGTAGTATTTTATATTTTTAAAATTATACATAAATGGAATCCTACTGTGTATATAATTCTGAAACTCGTTTTGTGTAACATAATTTAAAATTTTGATAAATGTAGATCTTGCTAATTCATTTTAATTGCTTTACAGTATTGCTTTATGTGACTAAATGTACCATGTGATATTTATCCATCAGCCTTATGATGGACATTTGAGTTATTTCTAGGTTTTTGTGAATACAGACCATATTGCAATGAACATTGTTATGAACTTCCCTGTTCACACAAGTGAGCACTTACCCAGGGAGTTATATGGACACAAAGTTATTAGGTGAAAGGTGAAATGATACATCTTCATTGACAAAATCTAAGTAGAAATTAAGCAACCTAGTTGTTTACTACAGCTTTTCAAGTAAATAAAACTCTAAAATAATCACTGCCATCAAGTCAATTTCAACTCATAGCAACCTCTCCTTGGGTTTCTGAGGCAGAGTCTCTATGGAAGTAGATTGCCCACTCTTCCTTCCAAGGAGTGGCTGGCAGGTTTGAACCGCCAGCCTTCTGGTTAGCAGTCAAATGCCTTAGGCACTAAGATAATACAAGTCTGTCATTAATCAATACATTTCATTTTCTGGGCCACATTAAGAGCTGTTGACCATTTATCTATCTGAAGGCTTTGGCTTAAATGATTTGACAGATTGGTTAAAGTAACTTTCTTTATGTCTTTGGATTAGGGTAGGTAGGGAGTGGCAGGGACAAGCCAGCCCTTCATTAAGTTTCTGCTTTTCATGTGAACCATACCATGTCTATAGACCTGGTATGGGACACCTGTGACAATGGATGTTGTTGTCTCTTGAGCTTTGTTACAAATGGCTTTTCTTGACCCAGGAAAATCTTGTGTGCCAAAACTTGGCTTCTATTTTCTGACTAGTCTCTTAGCATGTTTTTCTGAAATGGCTGTGCTGTTGTTTGGAGTGTAAGATGATCTATGTTCTTCTCAACCATCTGAGTCTGATTTCTTTGAACAAGTTGGAGAAATATCCAGGTTGAAGTGGGCCCAGGTTACAAGGAAGTTAGGCACTAGAGGCAACTCCTCCACTGACCCAGTGGGAAGGCCAAGAAAGCTTCCATGACCACACTATGGTTCTTACCATGCAGCCTGCTCAGAGCACCAGGCCTTGGCTGGGGTGAATGAGGCACAATCTCAAAGAATAGACTGAGAGCCAAGATTATGTCTCAATGTGTTTAACATATTTTAGCTCACAATCTTCTCTGTCTTCTTCAATAAATGGGGGAGTGTTTTGATTAACCTTAAGGACATAGCAAGTAGGAAGACAGGTCAGGAAGAGCAAGCTATAGAACTATCAAAAAAGTAACAAACAAACAAACAAACAAAAAAACCAGTGATGCTAGAGAGACTCTATATATAACAAAACAAAACACTGATCCTGTTCCATCCTCATGATGTTTGAGCCCATTGTTGCAGACACTGTGTCAATACACTTTGTTGAGCATCATCTTTTTCACTGACTCTCTCCTTCATCAAGCATTATGTCCTTTTCTAGGGACTGGTCTACCCTGATAACATATCCAAAGTACAGGAGACAGTCTCGCCATCGTTGCTTTTAAGGAGCATTTTGGCTATACTTCCTCCAAGACAGATTTGTCTATTCTTTTGGCAGTCCATGGTATATTCAGTGTTCTTCACCAACACCATAACTCAAATGCATCAATTCTTCTTCAGTCTTCTTTATTCATTCATTGTTCAGCTTTAGCAATGCTATGAGGCAATTAAAATACCATGGCTTGGATCTGCACACCTTAGTCCTCAAACTGACATCTTTGCCTGTTAACACTTTAAAGGGGTCTTTTGCAGCAGATTTGCCCAATGCGATATACCACCTGACTTCTTGGCTGCTGCTTCTATTGGTGTTGATTGTGGATTTAAGTAAAATGAAGTCCTTGACAGCATCAAAATTTTATGTATTTATCATGATGTTGCTTATTGGACCAGTTGTGAGGATTTTTGTTTTCTTTGTCTTGAGGTGTAATCCATATGGAAGGCTATAGAGTTTAATCTTCATTAGTAAGTACTTCATATCCTCTTCACTTTCAGCAAGCAAGGTTGTGTCATCTTCATATTGCAGGTTGTTTGTGAGTCTTCCTCCCATTCTAATGCCACATTCTTCATTATATAATCCAGCTTCTCGGATTATTTGCTCAGCATGTAGATTGAGTATGATCAGCATTTACAACTCTGATGTACACTATTCCTGATGCTAAACCACATAGTATCCCCTTGTTCTGTTTGAAGACTGTCTCTTGGTGTATGTACAGGCTCTGCATGAATACAACAAAATGTTCTGGAATTCCCATTCTTTGCAGTGGTATTTGTAGTTTGTTATGATCCATGCAGTTGAACGCCTTTGCATAGTCAATGAAACACAGGTAAACATCTTTCTGACAATCTCTGCTTTCAGCCAAGATCCATCTCACATTAGCAATGATATATCCCTTGTTTTATGTCCTCAAATTTTTGGTAGTTCTATGCTAATGTATCGCTACAACTAGTTTTTAATTATTTTCAGCAAAATTTTACTTGTGTGTGATATTCATGATACTATTCCATAATTTCTGTATTCTGTTGGATTACCTTTCTTTGGAATGGGTACAAATATGGGTCTCTTCCAATCTGTTGGCCAGGCCTTCCAAATTTCTTGGCATAGATGACTGAGTGCTTGTAGCTACAGTTGCATCTGTTTGTTGAAACATCTCAACTGGTATTCCCTCAATTCCTGGACTCTTCTTTTTTGCCAGTACCTTTGGTGCAGCTTGGACTTCTTCTTTCAATACCATTGATTCTTGATCATATACTACCTCCTGAGATGGTTGAATGTCAACCAATTTTGTTAGGTACATTGACTCTGTATTCCTTCCATCTTCTTTTTATCCTTTGTGCATTATTCATTATTTGCCCATAGAATCCTTCAGTATTACAACTTGAGGTGTGATTTTTTTTTTCCGTCAGTTCTTTCAGCTTTAGAAAAACCTTTACCATGTATTTTTTTTTTTTTAAACCCAGTTGTCGTCAAATCATAGTGTAATCCCATGTGTGTCAGAGTAGAACTGTGCTCCATAGTGTTTGCAATGGCTAATTTTTCTGAAGTAGATCACCCAGTCTTTTTTCCTGGGCACCTCTGGGTAGACTCAAACCTTTCAGTTAGCAACCAAGCGTGTTAACTGTATTGGCATAATCCAGAGACTCCTTATCCAGAAACTTGTAGAGCTCTTCTAAACCTGTTAAAGATGGCTGTAGTTTACCACTTCCTAAATACTGCTTTATGAGTTGGATTATGAGTAGGAAAGGGTTTGTGCAAGATTATATATATAGTTAATCTGCATTAATGATTCATGTGGCTGGTGGATAAGCACTGTGTATAATTTGCTATATCTGATCCATCATGGCCTGCCAGATTATTGGATAAAACCTTTTTTCAGTGGTTGTCACCTATGTAGTAATTGGTGTTGTGGATATATAGGCATGTTTTCACATTTATAAAATCATTCCTTTTCTTTTTTGTAATCAGCTGTCAAAGCTTGAAAAACAGCAGCAACGGAAAGAAAAGACTAGAGCCAAGGGGCCTTCTGAATCAAGCAAAGAAAGAAACACTCCTCGGAAGGAAGACCGCAGTGCCAGCAGTGGGGCAGAAGGGGATGTGTCCTCAGAGCGGGAGCCGTAGGCAGAAGAAACTGCGAACTCAGGTAGGAGTCTCTCTCACTCCAATAATTTCATCTGCTCACATTTTGGAGAAACTGTAATAAGCAGAGGACAGAATGGCTTCTGTTGCAGAATTAACCTTATGGATGTTCATCCATACCTTTTGCTGCAGCTGCTGCTTTTTTTAAAAAAAAAATATTGTGGTAAAATATATATAACAACACATTTGCCATTTTTTTTTTATGTATGATTCATTGGCATTAATTATATTCACTGTGTTGTACGACCATCACTACTATCCATTTCCAAAAATTTTAACATCATCCGAAACAGAAACTCAGTACTTCTTCAGCAATAACTCACATCCCCTCCTCCCCTCCTCCCCTCCTAGCTCCTGGTAAGCCCACTGATAAACTTCATCTCTATGCATTTGCCTATACTAATACTTCATATAAGTGAGATCATATCATATATGCCCTTTGTGACTAACTTATTTCCCTTAGCATAATGTTTTCAAGGTTCATCCATTTGGTAGGTTGTACCATAACTTCATTTCTTGTTATGGCTGAATAATATTTCATTGTATGGATATATATACACCACATTCTACTTATTCGTTCATCTGTTGATGGGCATGTGGGTTGTTGTTACCATTTGGCTATTGTGAATAATGTTGCATTGAACACTAGTGTACAAGTATCTGTTTGAGTTCCTGCTTTCAAGTCTTTTGGGTAAATATCTAGTAGTGGAAATGTTGGGTCATATGGTAATTCTATATTTAACTTTTTGAGGAACTGCCACAGTGTTTTCCACAGTAGATTCACCATATTACATTCCCACCAGCAATGCACAATGGTTCTAATTTCTCTACCGCCTCATCAGCACTTAGTTTACCATTTTTCTGATAGTGAGTGTGAAGTAGTATCTCATTGTGGTTTTGATTTGCATTTCTCTATGATTAGTGAAAGGAGCCCTGGTGTCACAATAATTAAGCACTTGGCTCCAAAGCAAAAGGCTCTGTGGAGAACAGACCTAGCAATATGATCCCATAAACATTTCAATCTGGGAAGCCCTATGGGGCAGTTCTGCTCTTTCCAATAGGGTTGCTATGAGTTAGAGTCAACTCAGTGGCACCTAACAACAACAACATGACTAATGATGTTAAGCATTTTGTTTCATGTGCTTATTGGCCATTTGTATTTCTTTGGTGAAGTGTCTATTCCTGTCCTTTGGCCATTTTTAAATTGGGTTGTTTGTCTTTTTACCATTGATCATTTGTAGCTTAAATATGCTACTTTTCAGGATGGAAAGAAAAGTTAGCAAATAATATTGTGTTTTATTCTTTGAGATGCAGGATATCTGGTACACACAGGACCAGGGATACTCACCAGGAGTTGGTTCTGTGTGTCCCACCTCCTGAAATTGCTTGTCTGTCAACAGCTGCTGCTTTCACATGTGCATAGCACTCACAGACACACCCAACATGTCAACAAATCTCCTGTCACTGCCCTTTCCTCCCCATTTTTGCTCTTAGCCTCCTCTCACTGTTTCCTGCCTCAGCTCTTGCCTTCTTTCCCTATGTACTGCATGGTGTGGCTAGTTTATTCTTTCTAAGATGGTGTTTTATTCTTGTCATTTCCATACCCAGGAGTTTAGCATGGTTCACTATAGCCTTAAGACCCTGTCTACCTGAAGGTCAGAAGCCTCCAAAATTTGACCAAGCCCTCCATGGCCCTTTGCTCATGTTCATTCCCCCAGTGAACATGCTGCCAGGAGCCTCTTTCTGGCTAGGCATTGAACCAGATGTGCAGATGTGGGTAACCTAGGGCCTGTCCCCAGGAAACTCAAAGGCTCAGTGGAGAAGCAAGAATAAAGATGCTACAGCACAATATGCGGTAGTGGGCATGTGAATGTGGTATGAGGTGGACACCAGTCAGGAAAGGCTTACCAGAGGGGAGGACTTGGAATTCATAGTGGAATGACAGGTAGGAATGGGGAGATGAAAGGGTATGGTGGGAAGAGATGCCCAAGCAGAGAAAGAGCAGGGGCAGACCTTGTTTATGCAGTGTTTTGTTGTTTGGGGGTCAGGAGAAGAGAAAGGCAAGATGAGTTTGGGATAAAGTAATGGAGACTTGCTGCACCACTGGGTGGAAGTAGGAGGGGTACGGGGCCTAAGTTAGACAAGTAGAAGGATTGGGGATCATATCGGGTCTGGTGTGCAATGCTCAGACATTTGGATTTCTTCCTGGGTTGATTGGGAACCTCTAGAAGGTTATTTTATTTTATTTTTATTGTGATTCGGGTGAAAATTTACAGCGCAAATACACTTTCCATACAGCAGTTCACATACACTTTGTCTCATGACATTGACCACAATTTACCACAATGCAACAGCTCCCCTCCCT